AAAACATGATTATTTATTAAAAGAACCTCAAATCAGAAGACAAAAAAATATCTCCCTGAGTCCTGCCAGTTGCCCATGGTCTTGACATTTTGCTGGGATTTCTTTCTTTCTAGTAAATATATATATATATATGTTTATATATATATATATTTGAGGTTTTTTTTTAAACTATAGTTGATTTACAATGTTGTGTTAGTTTCAGATGTACAGAACAGTGATTCAGTTTTATGTATATATACATATAACACATAAATATATATATATATATATTCTTTTTCAGATTTGTTTCCCTTATAGGTTATTAGAAAACAAAGTCAGTTCCCTGTGCTATACAGTAGGTCCTTGTTGGTCATAACTCATTTTGGACAGTAAGGAGGGGGGAAGCCTGTTTGGAGGTGTCATTTGGCGGGCACACCTGTGGGCAGACCTTTGCGCTTTGGGAGTAAGATGATCTGCTGGAAGTCAGGGAAGAGGCGTTAGGCCTGGAGGAGATGAGATCTGAGACAGCCTTCAAGAACAGAGACAGTGCTTGTATATTAAAGTACATATGTGGAACTAGATAAATGGTACAAATGAACCTATTGCAGGGCAGGAATAGAGATGCAGACGTAGAGAACAGACGTGTGGACATGGAGGGGGGACGGGAGGGTGAGATGAACTGTGAGACTGGTGCTGATGTAGACACACTCCCATTTGTAAAACAGACAGCTAGTGGGAAGCTGCTGTATAGGCGGGAAGCTCAGCTCAGTGTTCTGTGATGACCTAGAGGGGTGCGATGGAGAGGGGTGGGAGGGAGGTTCAAGAAGGAGGCGATATATGTATACTTATAGCTGATTCACATTATTGCATAGCAGAAGCTGACACAACAGAGTAAAGCAATTATACTCCAATTAAAAAAATATAGAAGAGACTAGGAACAGGATGCTAGTGGCAAGTCCCTGTCTTAATGCCATCTTGTATTGCTGGTCTCTGTTTGGTTTGCCTGTTTAGAAAGATGTGGCTAGTTCTCCTTTTATCACTCTCCACCTCCACAAATGGCTATGATCTCTTTCTAGCTCACTTCATTACTTTGTTTTTAAACTATTTATCTCATTCTAAAGTCTAGAAAATTTAGCATATATAAACAAGCAGAACAATAAAAGCTATATTCCCTATAAACCTACTATATAGAGATTATGGCTGTTAATGTCATCGTCACTTCTAGCTACTGAAAAAGAATTCTAAAAATATACCTTTAATGTGGAAAATAGGGATTGTGTCACATAATAATTATGTTCTTGCTTTTATCCATTTACCATATTGTGAATGTTTTCCCATGTCTGTAATATTCTTCTAAACATCTTTAATGTTTAGAAGAATGCTTCACAATATGCCTGTACCAGCCTATGATTGTACCATATAATGGGCATTTGTTTCACTGAATTGTCACTATTGTCACCCAAAACATCCATTTAACCTCCTCAGTTTTTCCTTCTATAGAATCTATATGGTTTGGATAATGCTGACTCTACCCAGGACTTCAAGGTCAGGACTACCCAGGCCAAACCATTGCATTTCCCTGTTCTCAGGGACTAGATTCAGTGTGAACGGTGCCATCTTGAAATCCCAGAAATAAGGGGCAAGGGATCCAAGGGCCAGGCGAAATGGCCTACTGTGGTCCGTGTCCACTCCTATACTCTCTTGCAAGAAGAAATGATGCCCATGAAACAGGGAGCATGGAGGCTGTGTGCTCCTGGAGGCCCCAGCCTTGGTCCTACTCTTGCAGGTGACTTTGCTCCTAACCCCGAGGCTGACACACAGCACGCACGTGAGAAAGTGCCAGCTGCAGCTGTGCCTTCCACACTAACCTCCACGTGCAATGGGACAAAACTTAAACAAGCTGGATGGAAGAGAAAAGTCAGACGCAGCACTTCTCTTTTTCTCTCTTGAAACAATATTCAACAGACTTGAGAAGAAGCAGGAAGGCAATGTACTTGGCTGATATTTTGGTAGTTATTTCCATCTCTCACAAAGAAATGAACAAACAGTTATATCTAGCACATGTATTGAACTTCATAGTTTATAAAACACTTTCAGGACATTACCTACTTTGGGCATCAAAATAATACTGTTCAGTAGAAGTCATTACTGCCCCTCACATTAAGAATGCAAAGTCTGAGACACATGGCTATGACTGCGGAGTACATTGTTCAGGGTCATGCAAAGAACAAGAGGCGAACTTTGACCATCAAGGGGGTTTTTCCACTTCTCAGAGAGGTGCAGAAGACTAGAGCGTGCCCACTGAGTCTGAGCTGATTTCCCTGCCAACTTCTCTCAACCTCTTCTCCCCCTGCCTGCATGCCCTAGAAAGAATTTCAGGGCTCCATTTGTACAATGCTGGGCTCCAAGCAAGGGACAAGGCTGACATAGTTTGTTGGGTAAACACAAGCAGCAAGTGACAGTGATTTACTCCTGACTTGCAAACTTCTGATTACCAATCTACTGCCGTATGTAAACAGGTGTAAACTAAGATTGAAATCAGTTTACACAGCGTGGTAAATAATTTAATCTCTCCTCAGGATGGTGCTTGCAAATGTAAATGTTTAAGCTCAAACCCATGCTGACGTTGTGATGCAAGCTTCCAGTTTCTCAACCAGAAAAGAAAGTCATGCCAGCAAACGGCCCCTGTTCGCCCCTGCTTCCCCCAATGCAAAGTTCAGCCATGGGCCTGGGGAGCTAGGGAAAATCCCTCTGCCCTGAATTCCTCCTGGTCCCAAGACTGTTCTCTCTCCCTCTAGTCTTTATTGTACTGTTCTGCAGACCCCTGAATTGGCTGCAGGTGTGAGAAAAGGCAGGCGAGAAGAAAAGAAAAAAAAGCAAGAAAACAACAGCCTTTGGGGCTGGTTGTAATGCCATTCTCACTGGAAGATGACCTGGGCCTTCCCTGCCCATCAATGTATGCTGATGCAAATTGATTTAGACCCTATGACCAGAACATGTAAATGTGTTTTTGGTTGTCAAAAACTGTAGACTGTACCTGCTAGAGTCACTGAACCAGAATGCTGCTTTCTATGAATTTTTCATCAGTATTATTCATGTTCTAATTAGTCTGGTTCTTGCCTTGTGCTGAGATGATGAGGAAGGGGCTCCCTCCCCTCCAAATATTATCTTGGGTTTTCTCAGGAGTGAAAGGCTCTGGGCGAAGCTAGACTCAATCCGTCCCATACTGAGATGTCTGGATGTAGACTAGAGAAGGGCAAATGGAAGCCAGACAGTAAGCTTCCTGATTTTCTTCTGCTCCCTTAGAAAATTCTAGTTTACAGTCAAAGTTGATATCTCCTGGAATCACTGGTAGTGCCACAGCTGGGATTTTGTCAGTTCAAAAAAAAAAAATCTTTTAAAAAGAATACCTACTGTGGTCAGATTTTGAACTAAGTCCTAGATAAGTAATAAGACATAATCTCTGGTAGGAAAATAATAGTTACAATTTACTGAGTACAAGGAGTTTCTTCTGAAAGTTTTTCACTTGTTTTGTTTGTTCAGAAAATGTTTCTTTTTTTTTTTTTTGAAACAATTTATTGAGCATTTAGCACAAGTCAGGCACTGAGCTGTACATTATTATATTGTTTGTGAACCCAGTCATATCCAACTCCATGGACTGTAGCCCGCCAGGTTCCTCTGTCCATGGGATTTCCCAGGTAAGAATACTGGAGTGGGTTGCCATGCCTCCTCCTCCATGGGATCTTCCCAACCCAAGGACTGAACCCACATCTCCTGTATTGCAGGCAAATTCTTTGCCTGCTGAGCTACTGGGGCTGAATATGTATTATCTTGTTTAATCCTCAACTGAGCACTTTGGTGCGGGCATTACTCCTAGTTTACAAAGGAATGAGACCCAAAGAGTTTAGTCACTTGCCTGAGGTTACTCAGCTAATAAAATGGCTGATAACTGGGATTTGAACCCCAGCACAAGTGTTTTCAAAACAGTTCCTCTTATATTATGCAGCAAAACTTTTATTCTTTCTGGTCTGCCATGCATTTAGAAGAAAGGTCCTCTTGATTTCTGGGTCTAGGAATGTATACACACGAAGTCCAGGAAGGATAAAGCAGAAATACTATAATTACAATATTAATAGATAATAGGTACTGAGTTTTATGTTTTAAAAATAGATTTACTGGACTTCCCTGGTAGTCCAGTGGTTAAGAATCTACCTGCCAATCAAGGGAACATGAGTTCAATTCCTGGTCCAGGAAAGTTCCATATGTTGCAGAGCAACAAATTCCATGAGCCTCAACTACTGAGCCCACGTTCTGCAACAGAAGTCACTGCAATAGAGAGTAGCCCCCACTTGCTGCAACTAGAGAAAGCCTGAGCGCAGCACTGAAGATCCAGCACAGCCAAAAATAAAATTAAAATTAAAAAAATTAATTCACTGACTCATGTTTTACACATATTAATTTACTTAGTTCCTACATTATTATTATCATTATCCTCATTTTACAGATGAGAAACTGAGACAGAGAAACTTCCCAGCATCACATACCTAATGAGAATCTGAGTTGGAGACCATCCTAGGCAATTTCTGCCACAGCCACAACTGGCAATTGCTGCCACAGCCACAATTTTAAACTTCCAATGGGCCTGATGATGATGTTTTAGGACAAAGTTGGATTTGGGTGACGTGTGTACCACTTAAGAAGTTCCTAACACTTACTTTCAAGGAAAATAATAATTTGGGTAGAGATTCTTTTCAAACACACCAAGATGAGACTCTGGAATCTGTTATGGGAAAGCAAATCTTTACAGGAAGCATATCTGGCCAGCCTGCCTGTCATGATTGGGGGGAACACACTTGTGCAGTTGAAGAAGGATTACATAGAAAAACAAATGCAACAAACAGGGGACAACCCAGAAGGTCTTAATGTTATTTCCAAACAATGGTCTCGGATTTGCAAGTGAAAGAAGAGGAGCAAAGTGCAGGGTAGGGAGCACTGCAAAGACCAGGAACGTTCCAACTTACTTCTTGACTTTATTCTTGGTGCTTCCCAGCACGTAGTAGCCTGGTTTGCATTCATATCTGCAGGTAGAGCCCACGTCGTGGTTGCCCTGGAGGCAGCGAGGCTGGAGCAGGTTGGCATTCGGGATTACAGGAGGAGCATCACACTCCAACTTGCAGTAGGCTTCAGGGAGAGACCAGAGCCCGTCTTCAAGGCAGGTCAGCCACGGGCTCAGACCTGACTCCAAGAAAGAGAGGCACAGGATGCTCAGAACAGAGAGTCCAAAAATAAAATACAAACAGAAGGAACGAAGACCTGTCAACAGACCGTCATTCTTGGAAAGTCACAGTACTTTTCATGGAGCAGCTTCTCTGCAACGTCAGGTCAAATGTTTATCCTATATCTTTCTACCCACAGAGCATCTACTGTGTTCTCTTGTGTAGCATAGAGGTCAGAAAGCTAGTTCTTGACCTGAATGAAAGAAGGGCTACCAACCAAATCCTTAACTCACTTCCTCACTACAAATAATAAAAATAAAGTAGTGACAGTATCGTGGAAAGGATTATAATAATACTAGATGACACTTTTATAGGGCTCATTACATGCCAGGCACTGCTGTAAGCATTTTACATGTATCACTTGTGTAAACTTCAAACCTCAAACAACCCTGTGAAATAGATACCATCATTATCCCCTATTTTGCAGATGAGGAAATTGAGTTTAAGTAATTTGTCCAAGCTAGTAAGGGCAGAGGCAGGGTTTGAACTTCGGCAGTTTGATACAAACTTCTGTACTTCAACACCATATGCCATATGCCATAGTGTTTTCTCTGAGTTCAATCTATGTAGTATCACTAACCCACTACAGGTTTACTAAATCAGACTCTGTCAGCATGAGCCTAGGAATCTGCATTTATAAGAAGTCTATTGGATCACTGTTGGGCACACCTAAGTTCAAGAGGAAGAGCAAGACGCAGGGTCAGAGGGACCTCCCTGGCAGTTCAGTGGTTAAGAATCTGTGTTTCCAAGGCAGGGGGCATGGGTTTGATTCCCGGTTGGGAAACTAGATCCTACATGCTTCAGGGTGTGGCCAAAATAAATTAAAAAACAAGTAAAATGAAATAGCCTATTCCCACGCTCTCTTACACAACAACAACAAAAAGCTGTGGGGTCAGAAGAAGTTCTACCACATCCTCATCTCTCCTTAGCAGTACAGCTCATACAGCTGTACTCTCATTGCTAAAATAGGACTAAAGGCACCTAACTCACAGAAGGGTTGTAAATATTAAATTTTAAAATGTGCGTGATAAAGGGTATCTGAATTATTAATACTCTCAGAAAACTGTTAGTTGGCTTGACTCCAGAGAACATAAACCCAAATAAAAACAGGAAAGTCTCAGTTTCTTTCATCAGTGAGATCTTGAGTTAGGGGCATCCTTCCAAGTGGTTGAGACAAGGAATGTGTTGCCTCTTGCTTGTCAAAAGAGGGTGCTTCAGCAGAGTCAGGTGGGAAGGTCACTGGAGTAAAGAAAAGATCCCCAAAGTACCCCCCTCCCCAAAGAGAGAGAACCTGAAGACAACTTGCGTACAACTCCTGCTTGGCCAGACAATACCTTGAAGCTTGGCTGGTGGGACACAGGAGATAGAGCAGCGTTTCAGAAAGTTGGTTCCCTCTGAGCAGGAGAAGGTCGCGTAGTTCACCAGAGATGCATCGGGGACACCACAGTCAAGGGGCTGGCAGCTCACAGCCCAGTCCCAGTGCCCAGAGGAACATGTGAGCAGGATTTCCTTCTAGAAACAAAGTTTTCTGTTATCAGAGTCACACAAAAAGGCTCATCAAAATAGTTCCCAGTCTTCGGCAGAGTCCTGATGATTATTTGTGCACATATTCACAACGGGCAAAATGATTTTGCCTCTCTCCCTCTTTATGCCTGGTCCTAATGTGCAATTTCACAACATCCAGGTACATTGCTTATTGCATGTGCACATAAGGGAGTCATTAAATGAAAACGCTCCTTCAGGCCAACTCTTGGCTCTCCTCACGGGCGTCTCCAGACAGCTCTCCATCCTACTCTGCCCTGCGGTGTGCCCTGGGACCCCGGGCCCTGTGGACTTCATGCCTTTGACTTGTGTCTGCTGTGGCACTCAGGGCAGCACTGGTAGGATACTGATGAGGCAGAGAAGGGAGGTCGAGCTGCTGATTCTTGCTACTCCCTCCATAGGGGTCGCCGTAAGGGTGGCCTCCCCCTTCAGCAGAGCTCTTCATACACCTGCTGCACTCTCTTCTCATGGGTTCTGCTAACTTCCCCTTACAGTCAACTCTTTAGGTCTAGAGGGGATATCACCCTTTCACCCAGGGATTCTGGACCATCTCCTTGTCATTTACTATATCCTGCCCCCACTTTTATCAGCAGTCCCTTTACTGAAGTTCCTCGAATTGTCCCCCTTTGAGCATTCATCAGTTTCCTGCTGGGACCTTTACTGATAAGCTGATTGATAATGGTACATAATAAACATAATTATATTCTCTGAGAATGGTGCCTAAGAACACCAATGGTGTCTTTAAGAACATCTGAGAATTAATGAACAAGAGGCATCTTCCAAACTCTGTAGTTAAGTTTAAGAGATTTCAGCCATTTCCTTGGGGCTGTGGCTTATGCCAAGGCAATGGTTTTTCCAGTGGTCATGTATGGATGTCAGAGTTGGACTGTGAAGAAAGCTGAGCGCTGAAAAATTGATGCTTTTGAACTGTGGTGTTGGAGAAGACTCTTGAGAGTCCCTTGGACTGCAAGGAGATCCAACCAGTCCATCCTAAAGGAGATCAGTCCTGGGTGTTCATTGGAAGGACTGATGCTCAGGTTGAAACTCCAATACTTTGGCCACCTCATGCAAAGAGTTGACTCATTGGAAAAGATCCTGATGCTGGGAGGGATTGGGGGCAGGAGGAGAAGGGGACAACAGAGGATGAGACGGTTGGATGGCATCACCGACTCGATGGACATGAGTTTGAGTAAAATCCGGGAGTTGGTGATGGACAGGGAGGCCTGGCATGCTGCGATTCATGTGGTCACAAAGAGTCGGACATGACTGAGTGATTGAACTGAACTGAACTGATGGCTTATGTAGGGGGCCCTAGAATTCACCACCATGAAACAAATGAGGTGACTTTTTTTTGAGAACTTAGAAGGGTCAGGTACTTTACTAAGTTTGGATAAACAAGACCCTTAAGGAGCTACCAGCAGAGCTCATCACAGGTTGAAGCAGTGAATCAGAAAACATCTGAAGCAGGGAGAATGGAAAGAAGAAGAAAGAGAGACAAGGAGGGAGGAGAAGAAGTTAAAAAGGAAAATGTGGGAGATGCATTTTGGTTATATCTTACTACTTTCTTTGATAATTTGTGAGAATATAATACAAAGAATGCAAATCATAAAGTAGAAAACATGGACCAAGAAGAAAGAGAATACAAATTGTTCTACTAAATAACATTAATATCATATATGCAGGCTTGTTTTGCAGGGGTAAGAGAGCACTACAGGGGCTGGAGAAGGGATTACCCATCCTGGGCAGGAGGGAGAGTGTTTGCGGGGAGATTCACATAGTAGGTAACTCAGGAACTGGTCTTTGAAAGATGAGCAAGACTTCCCAGCAGCAGAGGAGAAGCAAGGAGAAGAAAGTTTCAGAGTGAGGGGAACAGGATGGGCAGACACTCAGAGTCCTGGACACTCATGGCTTGTTGGGTGAAAAGTGTCACCATAGTGGGTTACCAAAAGTCAAAGGGAGAGAGGGGAGATTCTGGGGCTCAGCCAGCATCCCACCAGGAGACCACAGTGGCACCAAAGCCAAAGGTATTATGACTGGTGAAAGCACCTGTCACCCCTGACACCCACTCCTGCCTGGCTGCCCCTCCCTCTTTCCCAGTGTTTCCAGGTTGCCTGCCAGAAGGACCCAATTCAAAGCCAGACACATTTTTCTGGTTAGTTTCAGTTCTTATGTCAACAAAAAGCAGATATCCCTGCTGTCTTGTGATCACGAGCTGGGATCATATCATTTCTTTAGTGGGGCCAGGCTCGGGTGATGGGAGTGGTCAACTGGAGAGCTGTGCCTGATGACTCCATCGTATGACTGGCACCTTCCTTCTCTCAACTTGGCCCCTACCACAATGCTCACAGCCTGGAAGACTGGCTCCAATCACCGTGATCACTTAAAGAGTGTCTCAAACTCTGCATATATTGTCTGGGTTTTCTCCTGGCTCCAATAAGTATTGACTGTTCTGTTTTGAATTTGCTCCTAATTTTAATGAATTGCAAACACCATCTTTTCTTCTCTCTCCTTCTTTACTTAGTACACAAATGTATTCAGTTCCTACATTGTTTTTGTTCTCTTTCCTTCTTTCCATCTCTTTTCTAGTGTGAGGTAAGCTGATTTAAGGACAGGTAGGTGATAAGAGTTCTGCTTTTCTGACCAGAGCATCACAGACCAAGGAACTGATGCTTCAAGGTATGTTAAAATGGTCTCTCTACACAGAACTCTCTTTAAGCCATCTGAAACCAAAGATTGTATCTTTAAATTCTGTGTCTAAGCAAGTGAAATCCCTCCATGGATCCACAATCTGCAGAGCAGTCAACTGGTACAAGATGAAAAACAATTCCAATCTTCCAAGCCATTGATACCTGACTACCAAGCATGCTTCCGCTCGTCCTTCATCATACCTCATCTCCCTCATATTCTTCTCAAGCACATTTACCTTTTGCCTAATGCATCCTGTCTCTCTATCATATTGTGCTCATGTGTTCTCAAATTTCAAATTCCTCTGTAGAATATGGAAAGCTTTCTAAAGGAAAGAGGGAAAACAAAATTCTTAGTTGACAATACATCATCATGGTCATCATAATGGCAGCTTTGCAGAGAGCTAGGTGTCTATCATTTTTATAGAAGCTTATGAATTATTTCTACTCAGTCACCAAAACAGCCCAAGGACAAAAATACCTCTGATCTAACTATTTTACAAATGTGGAAACACCCTTAAAGAGGTTGGCATGTTTTGCTTGTCTTTACCTAAAATTACACAATAAACAGAGGAGTCAAATTTCATTCCAATTCTGTCTCCCAAGCCATGCTCTTCACTAATATATTCTACTACCTTCAGACTGCCTTGAAATCCTGGAAGTGGTGCCATGGTAGCTTATAGAAATTTGAAAAATTCAGTCAAAACTAGAATCTTGATATAAGTCCTACTTCAGTAGCAGAAGAAAGAAAATCATAATTTTTCCTCCAGTATTTTTATAAAGAGGGTCAGACCTGGGGGAACAGGCAGAAAATGTACCACAAAAAAGCTGGTTGCATCCTATCTTGCCTGCAAATTTTGGACAGGTCTAAACTGTAACATTCTCATCTTGAAGCCAAAAGTCAGGATCATAATTTCTTACACTTCTTATATATTCCTACATATACCTTGCATTTCTATAAATCCATGTTTCTCTTTGATTGTTAGAGTCTTCATTTTTCCTTTCAGACGATTTAAAAACACAGGCCTTTCCCCCATCCAGGAAGGAGGAGGCGCATGCATATTGTCCCTCCCCAGGGGCTTGGTTCTGATGACCCCAAATTTCCAACTCACCTGCATGGGCCTGAGGTACTGCCCATTGCTGGCCTGAAGGGCAAACCCCCTCTGACAGGTGATAGAGCACTTCATGTGACCCGGACCACTAGAGGTACAGTTCACCACATCCGCGTGATCCAGCAGCAATGGCACACAGCTGCCCTGCTCCCCACAGGGCCGATGGACACAGCTGGAGATGACAGAAACAGAAATATCTTACATTGACTTGCTAGGCAGCAAAGACTGCCTCACCCTTTGAGAAGGGTCTCTAAACCAAAGAGAACACTTTCTTGAAAACCTACATTAAACTCATCATTTCCTCCTTGTGACCTGGAACCAAGCAACATAAAGTAAACAGGAACAATATCAGCTACCAAGTGATTTTGAACCAGCTTTCTATGGATCTTCCAGGAGGAGAAAATGACGATGCGACAGGTGGGGAGAGTGTCCCCAGAGCTCTGGATGGCATAGAAGTGAATAGATCAGAGGGTAATCCTCAAAATATATCACAGCCAGTACTTCTGAGCCCCAAACAATCAGAACAGATGCAGGGCAAAGATCAGGAGTGAATTCTGGAGGCCCCTGGTTGTGTCAGGAAGAAATCTTTTTGTTTTTCCATCATGGGTTGGTCTCAGTGGGCCCTGTAGAACAGGTATTTGAGCTGGCAGAAAAGGCAACATTTATTTACTGATTGCATGGAGCATTTTTTAAAACTTTTTATTTTGTTTTTGGGTATTAACAACCAACGTTTAACAACGATTAACAACCAACGTTGTGATAGCTCGGGTGAACAGCGAAGGGACTCAGCCATACATGTACATGTATATGTACATGTACATGGTCTCCCCAAATCCCCTCCCATCCAGGCTGCCAAATAACACTGAGCAGAGTTCTATATGCTATACAGTAGGACCCGGATGGTTATACACTTTGAATATAGCAGTCATGTGGCACTAGTGGTAAAGAACCTGCCTGCCAATACAGGAGTTTTTAAGAGACATGGGTTCAATCCCTGGGTTAGGAAGACTCCCTGGAGAAGGGCATGACAACCCACTCTAGAATGCTTGCCTGGAGAATCCCATGGACAGAGGAGCCTGGCAGGCTACAGTCCATAGGATCACAAAGAGTTGGACATGACTGAAGTTACTTAGCACACATACATACACCACTGAATATCAACACTGGCTTGGCAGAAAAGCTATGACAAATCTAGACAGCACATTAAAAAGCAGAGACATCACTTTGCCAACAAAGGTCCATAAAGTCAAAGCTATGGTTTTTCCAGTAGTCACGTACAGATGTGAGAGATGGACCATAAAGAAGTCTGGTGCCTAAGAATTGATGCTTTTACCCACAGAGCTGTGGGCTAATAAACAGTTGTTGTTTTAAAAAAAAAAAAAAAAAAAGAATTGATGCTTTCAAACTGTGGTGCTGGAGAAGAGTCTTGAGAGTCCCTGGGACAGTAAGGAGATCAAACCAATCAATCCTAAAGGAAATCAACTCTGAATACTCATTGGAAAGACTGATGCTAAAGCTGAAGCTCTAATACTTTGGCCGCTTGATGCAAAGCACTGACTCATTGGAAAAGATGATGCTGGGAAAGATTGAGGGCAGGAGAAGGGGGTGACAGAGGACTGGATGGTTGTATGGCATCACTGACTCAACGGACATGAGTTTGAGCAAATTCCAGGAGATAGTGGAGGACAGGGAAACCGGTCATGCTGCAATCCATGGGGTCGCAAAGAGTCGGACACGACTGAGCGACTGAACAACAAATCAGAAATGGAGCCCATGACAGAAAGAAGAAAAAACTCACACAAATCAAGTCCCTGCCGCATGCCTAATGTTGTGCTAGATGCTTCCAGGACATTACCTCATCAGAGAACTGCTGTCTGGGTCTCTAAAGCTAGTCATGTAGGAATAGGAGAGACAGTTAAACTCCCCAGGGTTCAAGAGGACCCTGTCAAGACCATGACAGCATCAAGGATGTAACAGATTCAAAAGAGGGTTACTCTTTTATCAAGGCAGAGCCAAAGTGATTAAAATTTAGAGCACTGCCCCCAGGCTGTGTGAATTCGAATCCTGGATTCACCATTTACTACCTGTGTGATATGGTTGAGTTATTTATTCCCCAGGCTTTCAAGTCCTCCCCCCATGAGATAAGGATGATAATGGTGTGTACCCTTATGTAGCTACTGTTCCTAGGTTCAGTCTCTCTACTGCTCCACTGCAAATGGCACATATCCCACATTCAATGGCCTGTTTTCTATGAGTCACCTACATGTTTTGGTTTTCCCATGTCTGTACCTTTGCTTAATTTATTGAACCTTTTAAAAGGCCTTCCGACTCCAAGAAGCCACTCCAGATATCTTCCTTCTTTGAATCTTGAAGGGAAATTTAAAAAATAACTTTTCTAATATTTCTTTTACTCTATCTGTATTATAGCCATGATTTTTAGCTAATTTATCCATCCTTTGATCCACAAGGCAATGAGTACACAGGTGTCTCCTAAATGCTGCTGAATCTCCCAACTAGACTATGATCTGCTTGAAGACAAATACTGACTTCTACCCTCTTTTGTATTTACCATACACCTCACTGTGGGGGATGCAACAAATGTTTGCTGAATTAAATATTTTTGTGTCATAGACATCAAAGTAAGTCAATGGCTATCAAAATGGTAAATTTGTTAAATTTTATAGTGATAGATGGGGATATGAAGTTAAAAAATCATTATCAAACAATGATTCAACCATCTTGCCCTACTGCTTCATTCATTCATAAACATTTCCCAAGCACTTAGCACATTGGTCTCAGTACTGGGGATAAAATAAGTATGCCCTTAAAGAACTCATAGTCTAGTGAGGGAAAACAGCATGATACTTTTTATACTTTCTTGCTTATGATATTTTTGCCAGTGGTAGTAAATCTTATTCAAAATGTCTTCTGTGAGTCTCGTCATCATTCACTTGTTTTATTTGCTCTTGAATTCTGTTAGAGGCCAGTGACTTTTATCAAGGAACTGGGCAACAGTATAAGAAAGTGGAAAATAAAATGTCATTGAATTGCACTGAAATAATTGAGAATTGATTTAAAAAGCACTAGTCCAAGAAGTATGGATTTGATTTGAATATGCTAAAGTTGCTGCCTCTGATCTTGTACCCATGGCACTTAAACTATGTCAGTGACATTCTCATTTTTTTTTACCCATGCTTATCAGGCATAGGATGGAGGAATTGGAGTTGAGTGGTATGCAATCAACATTTTTCTCCTGTAAGCCCTGATTATTCTCTGGGATCATGTAGTATTTCCTCAGACTCACTACACGGAGCCTGATGAAGGGAGGAATATATGAGTTGAGGGAGATGGATTCTTCAAATTCAACACTGCTAATAAGGCCTGCAATATAGGAAATAGAGCTTTGTCTCTGAGTCTTCATTGAGCCTAGCTGCATAAGGAATCTGAAACCGGACCATCCTTCATGGAATGAGATGAGAACCCCTCATTAGTGATGCTAAACAACTCCAAGTTCCATAGATACTACATGCCCTTGATATGCACAAAATGTAATATTTCTTCAGTGTGTTAAGCAGAGAGGACTGGAAAACAGAGAGTCATTAACAGTTCTGGTTCATGTCAGCTCACTACCAAGAAATTAATGTGAAATAGCACGTGCTGTTTTCCAGTGACTCCATCCAATTCACCCTCAGTGTCATCACTGAGGACAAATACGTGCTGAGATAAGACACAAAACAAATACTCCGAATGAGCCTCCTTCCATCAAGTTGGTGTTCCATTGACTATGGTTGCTATGACTACCCGTGTGCAAGGTCCATCCTTGAATAGGACAGGGGATCTTAGAAGAGGAGGAAAGTGGCATGACATAAGACCAAGATAAAAAAAAGAAAAAGCATCAAACACAGACCTGTTTATGAAGTGAGAAATGGTTTTAGGGCAGCTGCTGCAAATTCTTTCACTAGCTTATATTTCCATTTGCTTCCTTTTTAAGGAATTTGTTTTATGAGGATGGTGTTTGTCAGGTTGTTAGCTTCTGATGGCATCTGGTATCAATTGTAGACTTCTCTGCCTTGCACCCTATTCCCAAAACCCCTTTTGCATTTCTCTTCCACTACAAATACACTGCTTCTCTGAGTGAAGTACTATATTCTCCATTTTCCCATGCTCCTGATACATTCTTGTTTCTGGCTACTACTACATTAAGCCCCAATGTCATAGTGATAATGTTGCTAGTAAACATAGTTAGCCTTCAAATTTTTCAAAAGCTTTCTTCTTATGGTCTTTGGACACATGTCAATAAAAGTGGAAGCAACAAAGCCTTACCATGCCCCAGAGAGATGGAAAGTTAGGTATTTATCTTGGTTTGACATACAAAGAAACTAAAGCTGTTTGGAATCTGGCTAGAGGCCACCCAGAGAGTCAGAGGAAAGCCCTCAAACTGGAATGCAGAGCGCTCATTCCCCAGGCCAGCTTAGACCACCAGGCTATCTCCCTGGAGATGAGGTGGGTCTCCTGTTGTTTTCTTCTCCATTCAGGAGCTAACATCATTGGCCAGGATGAGCCAAGAAGTTCCTTAGCAGGGTGGTTGGGGGGAAATGATGGATATATTTCATGGTCATTCCTAGTTTTGAGCAGTTTACTTTTAAGTGATAGCAAATCAAATTAATGATCTCTGTCCAGCTGTCTCTGTCTGCAAGATGCCCTGTTAAGCAAGCCTGCTTCCTCCTTGGGCAACCTTACCCTTTCACCCATTTTTTCCAGACCTTTCCTGACACCCCATCACAATGTGTTCTCAGGTAAGGATATGATACACCTAGTCAGACATGATTCACAGCTATTTCCATTTTAATGGGAGACAACATTTGCAGACCGAAGAATGAGTTTTTCATGGTGGAATTTTAAGTCAATAGACCCTTAGAGGTTACACTATGTAGATGGTCCCCTTACCCATCCTTCCTTTGCTCTCTGTCTCTCCACTTCCCCAATATGCCTCTATTCTCTCTCTCTTCTGGTTCTCACTCCCCAAAGTTGTTGCATTTGAGGGTTTTAAAAAATGATTTCAATAGAGAAATCTTGTTGCAAAATGTATGTTATCCCTGGACTATCCTCTTGCATAAAATCTGCTCGTCACTATCCAGGTACACTTCTAGCACCATCCTACCAAAATGATGT